GTGTGTGTATATATATATATATATATATATATATATATATATATTCAAATAAGTAGGTAAGAACGTAGGACACACGGCATCGTTGGAAGAAGTTCACAGTTCGTAGGTCTGGAAGTTAGGTTTCTGCAGTTGGACGTGGGACAAGTGTCTTGTACAGAATAGATAGACATTTCCTTGGTAGGACATGGGTACTTCTTGTAAGGCTTGTAATGCCTATAAATAGTGTACCTAGGACTACATTAGTCGCTTTCTCAACGACATCAATCAAACTTCAATACATTGTATTTCAATTCATGCAATTTCAATACAAGTTTATTTCAATTCCTTTACATTCATGTACTTGCACTTTAATTCTCTAGTTAGCATTGTAGTCTTAATAAAAAGTCCTTTCATCGAAGGCAAATCAGAAACTTCCATAATCGCCTGATCTTTCCAAAAGGATCTTCCTTTTTGTTCGACTTCTCTGAATCTTCCGAGATTCTGATACGCCTACGCACTTCTAGTGTCCTAATTTTGTGCAAACATATGGTTATTCTTAAGTGGATTCGTCTATAAGTATGGTATTTGATTTAACACTCTTTTGTTTGGTATATTCCAAGGTTGTGAGATGATTGTGCAATTTAAGTTTATTACAACGAATTTACCTCCAGTGGATGGAATGTGAAGAATTTGTTGATAACCTTATCAATTTGTGAACTCTCCATAAGCTCTAGTAGCGAATTACAGTTATTGTATCAATTACCTATACTTTTTTACAAAATTCATATCATTAATGTTGTCGCAACAATTTTGCACCACTGGGGAACCCATTGGAGAAATGATGCCTCCAAGGACATGATCCCCACTAATAAGCTTATTCAATAGGCTAATATTGCATTTGGTGTGCAAGAATGGAATAGAATGCAAGTGGGAATGTAATAAGAATGAGAATGACGTAGAATGGAATGAGAATGACATGGAATGGAATGGACATTATTGTTCAATTATTTAGTTTTAAATATGAAATGTGTAAGAATGGAATGATAATAACATTTGGTTTGACCAATTTAAAATTTCGAATAAAATGAATATAAATTGAATATAAAGCTTAGTGAATGGAATATAAAAGCTTATTCAGTGGAATTATGAATAGTGAAGCTGGCTATAATTTTACGCAATCACATAAAAGAGGAAATTAATTTATTCATGCAATTGGTATTCGGCTAAAATGTCCCGAGAGAAAAAGAAAAAAAATAATAATAACAAAACTAAACTGAAAAATAAAACTGGAATAAGGAAATTGAATCCAAAAATAGCACTTACATTACAATACTGTTGATTAAGCAACAGGAATCGATGTAGTAACTTGTGATAGATCGGTGAATGGCAACTAAATCAAACTTTCCACCCGAAGGCCTTTTATACACCGTAACCTTTAAGCAGGTAATGATCCGTCCCCTCCTTTCGATCCTTTAAGCAGATAATTTTCTTCCCTTAACAGACAAAACTTTGTGCCACTGCCTAGAAGGAGTAAAGTTATTGGATAAAAACCACAATAGTTAGGATCGGGGAGGAAATCCTCTAAGCCCATTAGTTTTTTTGGTTTGGCTTCAGATTTGTTGACATTGAAACAGAGAATAGACCCCTTTACGAGCTTGAAAGCTTCTTTGAAGTGATTTGAATCAGGATTAAAGTCATTTGCATAGAGATTCCATGATCGATCATCGGATCAGTATGACTCACCATCCAAGGATAATCGCTACCGTTACGAATCCAACCGCTAATGACTGGTGGTAGAGTAAAACCCCCGATCACGTAGATCTTTCCGTCAAGAGTAAAGGCCTAAGCATTACATCTTTTGATGAACATAGGAGGAACTTTGTCCACCCATTCTCGGGATTGAGAGTGTCTATGCAATGGACCTCGTTGGTGAAGAGTTCATTGACAAGAATTAAATCACCCTCCGTGTTGTAATTTTTGGTGGGGACAGTATTATAGCCACCAATAACGTATAAGAATGAGCCCAATGCGACATAGGCAGAGTTGAAAGAGTATACATAATTTGGGTGCAAATTGGGAAATACGGGAAACGGATACACGTTTGGCTTTGTGTCGTTCTTTATTACGTACCAGCTGCAATCGCTGTCATTACTTCTTGCGGTGAAGTATATGTCCACAGGATCTTCTTTTTCTTCTGCAACAGCAACGTTAACATTAGTTGTCGTTTCTTATTGTTTGTCCACCATCATCGTCGTAGTTTCTTCTTCACCTTACACCTTAATAAATAAATAATAAGTCGAGGAACAAAAAAGTGAGACCCACTATGTAACTTCCATACCATGAACAAGTAAATATACTGCTATGCATTTTCTTCACCAATCCTATCTAAGCAAGACATGCAATGCAATATATGTGTGTATTTATGCACTACAAAATACATGGACCAGATTCATCACTAAAGCAATACAAGTTAGTATTACAAAATTAGTCTAAGCAACAACGTGATAGAAGAGTTGATGGAGCTTACGAATGCAGACCAGACAAAAGTTTTGTACAAAATATCATGGTTAATAGTCCTTCGAGCTATTTAGTAACTTAATAGCATAATAGCTCTTCCCTCCTTCACCTTACACTGCAATAATAAATAAAATTATTTGTTATAGGACATCTAACTAATATTATGGGAAGATAATGATATAGTGTTACCTCTACACTATAAAGCACGGACACGGATATGGGTACGACATGATACGAATACAGCGACACTCCAAATTTCAAAAAAATAGGACAAGGATACGGCGGAGATACGCCTATAAAATTATATATATATATAATAATTATATATTCAAAATCTACAATACCATAAATCTAACCTCTCACAAAAAAAAATACTGCAATAAAATAAATACTTCAATTAATTAAAAACAAAGCAAAGTTATCAACAACTTTACAGTTTACATTTGGGTTAAATGCAAAAAAAAAACCCCTCTACTATCGAGATATAGTGTAAAAAGGTCCATGTGTGGTATAGAACCCCCTTATACTATCAATTTGGTGTAAATAGGTTCCTGTATGGTATAAAATGACAATAATACCCTCACTTCAATTAAATAAATTAATAACTATAAATACTGGAGATGTAAAATGACTATTTTGTCTAATTTGTGTAAAATTATGTTTGTTTGGGACAAGAATAAAATAAACCACAATTTATATATATATATATATATATATATATATATATATATATGATAAGTAACCTCAATTTCTATAAAATTGGGATAAGCTAAACAAATGAAACCTAAAACTGGATATAATAAAAATCAAAACCAAACAGTCTCCTACTACACACACTGTAGCACTATTTATAAATAAATAAATAAATAAAACAAAACAAAATTCCCAAAATTACCGGTGCCACCTCCTCCTCACCATGGTCGACGCCTCCTCCCACCTCCTCCCCACCATGGGGGGGGGGGGTGTGTGTTTTAGTTTCCACTCTTAAAAGAGTTGCTAGTATCTAAGTCAAAATAATGTGGATGAGATGGGTTCAGTCCATAATTCTCAAATTGGGGTAGATTCACTTTAATCCCTCAAATTTTAATAATTTTGTTGGGTGGGCGAAGGGGAAGCTGCCCTTTCTACAGGTTAGGTATCTCATGGTGCGAAAGTTGGATGGAAATTTTATGATCCCCATTATATTCTATTAAATGTTATATTAAAGTACCTCTCATGTGTTAGATTTGTTTTATATGGAATAATTACAATTGAGGGATAAGTTCTTCACCGTCGCCGTGGCAGGAGTTGGAGCATCAAACTTTAAGTATCTAATGGCTGGACTCCCTGTCCCACCTGATCTCGTACTCCCCATTCAGAACAGCTGCGAATCTATGTCTGCTAGATTATTTCACCATCCCACTAGTAAGCCACCATTCATCACTCTTAATTTCTCTTTATCTCTCACACAAATTGATGTTGTTCTTGTGTATATGTGTTGTTTTTGTCTATCCATTATGTTTACTCTAACATAATTTTAATTTTATTTTATGTGTCTATTGAATTGATTAAAAAAATTTCAAAAAGAAATTATAGGCATAAGGAATTAATATACATATACATACATATATATATATATCATAACCCGAGAGAGAGAGAGAGAGATGGGGGGGGGGGGGGGGGGGGATGGGTATAGGGGTTAATATGCACATAAGGGTGGGGTAAAATGGGAATCAAAAGGGTAAAATAGGGTTTTCATATTTAGTTTTTGTCAAAGGGTGATTATTTGCACATTTTTTTGAATTTTATGGACTAACATGCACATTTTTAAAAAGTAGGGAATACTTCTACACAAACCCTATATATCGGGGGTTTTTTTTTTTTACACTTAACCCTTTAAATTTTGCACACATCCACAAATATAGTTGTTCTGATTTCTCTCTAATTTTGTTGAAACGGTCTAAAAGTTTATTTAATTTAAGTATTAAGATGAATGTATCAAATAAAAAAATAAACATAATACAATCATAAAATTTAATAAAAGTAAAAGTTCAGAATCACAGACAATAGAGTCAAAAAGTTAAACTTCTAAAATTACATTAGGTACCCCATTTTTTCTTAAAAAAAATTACAAAATATAACCCATCGTGTCTAGTACGTGTCCCAGCCGTGTCCAACCCGTATCCAATAAAAAATAATTTCTGGACACTGGTACGATACCCTGGGAAGGGTGTCCGTGCTTTATAGCCTGTATACATTAAAACCACCGAACTTTTGACCATACACGATAATACATCTATCCCACAAGTAAGAAGTCAAAACGTCTTTTAGATTAAAACTCTTAATTAAGTTAAAAAAATAATATACATACATATACATATATATATATTATACACACTATTAAATTTGTTAAAAAAAATTACTTTTTAATTCATTTTCTTTCTTATCAGCATCCTTGTTATAGTGCTCGTAGCCGTTTCTGTATATGACGTAAGCGAAACCGATAGATTGTTCACAAATGAACAAATTCGCAAAAGAATCTGATAATATATTAATAATTGAATGAATGATCTGCTCTACAATACATGTATTTATAAATAAAACTCGTAACAGCAAAAAAAAAAAAAAAAAAAAAAAAAAAAAAAAAAAAAAAAAAAAACGTAAAGAAATTAGCGGTGCAAGGAAACTGCTCAAAAATAAACGTGTTCTATTGTAAAAATAAGGAAAGAAACCTAATTACAAACAACTACTAAATACCAAAAAAGAACGCAAATCGAATCCGTTTAGACTTATAACAAAAATCCTGAAATATTCCAAATTGAAAAAATGTCATTCCCGAGCCTTAAACGATTGAATTATGTCAAAAGACACTCTACGCTGCCGATATCTGAAAGTTAGGCAATTTAAAACTGGACTCTTTCTGGGTTAAAAAAAAGATTCCTCGAAATCATCCGATAAAAACTGATCAGCCCACCCGTTTGACCTTTTGACGGTCCAAAACGAGTTCCAAAACCTTCAGCTAACTGTCCTGCATTAATATATTAATGCTGTGTTTTGTTTTAACAAATTTTTCCACTCGTCCACATATGTGGGATGGAAATACTGGGGTACGTAAAGGGTCTCTTATAGCTTTAAAGGTAGTTTCATCAAGTTGGTGTAGGTGCCAAACTTTCCTCGTGAAACAGCTTCTATGATCTATCCGCATCATCCCAAAAATAAGGGTTATCAAGAACCTAAAAAAAATGGTGAGAAGAAGAAAAAATATATAAATGAACATTATTAGAAAAACAATAAATGTAACCCAATGTACTTACTGTTCGCTGAGTCGATGAAAGCTACCAATTCAGTCGGTTGAGAAACAAAAATAAATCCCAACCTATCACTCCTACCATAAGCCACCACAAGGTGTTAATATCTTTGATAGCTAGTTCAACCATTAAGCAGGAGTAATATCTGGTGGACAGAAAAAATAAATAAATGAAACTTAAAAATAAAAAAAAAAAATTTGGGATGTGTTCAAAATTATACTTCTAAATAAAAGAAGATTCAGCATCTTTTAAAATATGTTCAAAAGTATACTTCTACGATCAAACCCATTGTGTGGCCATTAGTATCTTGCCATACTCTCCTCCTCCTTTCTCTACTCGTGTGACGGCGGCACATTCGAGAAGGTCTCCTTGGCAACGTCCCAGGTTAAACAAAAGTTCTTCCGTATTCGACACCATTCGGCGACGACCCTGAGATTAAAAACATAATTTTTGAAGATGTTTTTAATTATGTCATGCTTCCATTGCAAGAAAAATAATAACAAATAAATATAAAATATTAGAAACAGAAATTTAGATACAAATACAAATCACAATGAATATATATATATATATATATATATACACACACACACTTAAAATACAAATCCCAAGAAATATTAAGACATGTCATTACAGTATGTTATGAAATACAGTATATTATGATCTTATACTTGATTTGTTATTTATTTGATTGTGTGTGAACCATTATCAAGATATGTTTTCAAATTTATACATCATTGTCAGGGTATAGTTGTATATTAAGGGTGAGCTGGCTAATAAGTTTAGACTCATTCCTTATCATGCCATTGTTAGAATATGGATGACGGACATAGATTTTGCCATTATCAGAATATGGATAACGGACATGAATTTTGCCATTGTTAGGATATGGCTATATATATATGTATGTAGTATGTACTATGATATGTGCTTGAATTCTCATGATCGATGGTTAGGAATGTTATATTGCCCTTACGATGCATAGCTGGATATAGAGGGTTGCCTATAGTTCAGTGACAGTCTTTAGTGTGTATTTATATACGTATACCGAATATGTAGCTATTGCATGAGTTGACTAAGATATATTCATTCATTAGGTCTCTGTTTGGGAATGTAGTAGAAAGAACTTGTTTGTGGGTGTGACTCAATATTTATTTTTCAAGTCATCGTTAGTTCCAGACTTAGCTTGTGTTCGTGCAGAGCAAAGACCAATTATCATCACTCTTTTAGTTATTTACGTAGGATTCTATTTATGTTTTAGCATTCAGTTTTAGACAGTTATTCATTTTAGTTGGGATTTTGTTAGGAGTCCACATAGTATGGATTCCCGAAATGTATTTCGGAGGATTAATGGTATCAGAGATATTTATTATTTATTGGATTTTATTCATTGAGGATTTAATTATTATTTTAGTTTCTCTTTCAACATTTATTTATTCTTTATTTATCATTTTGTATTTTGTTTTCATTTATTACCTAATTGTTTTGATATCCTTGATTTTGTATATAGACTTGATCAACCAATGACTTTGAAATTAGGGAGTATCACAACTGGTATCAGAGCACTCCATGTTCAAGTGTCTATAGGGATCTTTTGTATATCGACTTTTGTGTAGCATATTTGTTCGTTTAGAGCTTAAGTATCACGATTCATTGTATTCTTTTATGGTCTGTTAAATTGCATACTGATTTTTATCTTACTGTGTTAACCGAATGGTTAACGCGAGAGCAAGATGGGAAATGGAACAGATTTGCAAGGAAAGGCAGCTAAGGAAGGTGGAGCCTAAGCGTCAGAATTTCCTATGACGCCAGCAAGCTGCAGTAGAGCAACATACACCTTTGTTCCACGAGGAAGAGGAACAGTTGCTTATAGTTCATGAGGAGGAGCAGCAGCAGTATCAGGAACCTCAGGATCATAACCACAATCAGGATAGGGATCCAGAGTATCCTCCTCAGATAACTGACATCATTGCTCAAGCTGTAGCAGCTGCACTTTAGAATCAGCCACATGTTCAGCAAACACCTGTACCATTACCAGTGGTTCAGACTAATAATTGGGAGAAGGCCAGAAGTTCTTTCATAAAGGGGAGCCCACCTAAGTTCTTAGGCTCCACCAATGTGAAAGTAGCTCATCAGTAGAAGAATGATATAGAGCGTCATCTTCGCATGGTTGAGTGCACGGAGGTTCAGAAGCAAATAATTGCTACATTCAAGCTTCTTGATTATGCAGTGACACTCTTTACCTTCCTAAGAAGACAAGACCACCCTCCCCAAAGAATTCCCTTTTCATCTATCGAATCAAGGAATCAGCTCATCCTAGCTCTAAAAAATCAAAAAAAAAATTTAAAACTATTTTTAAGCAACAAAATATTGCTCGATATCTAGAGCAACAAACACTAAACCATGAAAGTAGCACAATTTGCAGTAGATAGAATTAACATAAAGGATTCTCTATGATATACGTAGAAGGAGTAAAAATGTCTCTCAATTTGATGCTCAATTTGAATTTTAATTATTAAATTAATCAATTTACGAAGGATGTAAGTAAACATACCTTCTTCTTTTTTGAAAAATAAAATAACATAAATTTGTAATGTGAAAAGCCAAACGAGAAAAACAATGAAGACTACACTATGCTATCTTAATGGAAACCAATTTATTGTATGAAAAAGTGTACAACGATTTTTAACCCCTTTAGAATACTTCAATTCTTAGAATCATGGGAAAAAAAAAAATTCCATTGATTATTCTCTTAACACTTGTTCCTAATCTACAAAAACTAACACTGCAATTGTGTGCAAAAATAGCATAGGAGTAAACAATCATAGTCTCTTTCTCAAGACACACAAGTAAGCATAAAGCTTGAACATTTTTTAAAAGCATCCTTCAATATGAAAATCTTGCGTTCATAGTGTTTTTCAGAGTTAAATCTGATAGGAAAAGAGTCAAAAAAATATAATAAAATAAAATAAAATTCATTAGAATACATCTGATATCCAAGTTCAATTGGATTTTCCAATTCGAAGTCCATGCACAAGTGCATAAGTTGGATGTACTGGTCCATGGTGCTTACTACAAAATATGTACTAGTGCGTAAGGACTGATGCATAATGATTACTGGAGCTGGGTGTTCCCAATTTTGAAGAAATAAAACCTTTGAAGAAAAAAATAAAAATAAAAAAATATTAAAACCAAAATTTTGTCTTGAGTCAATTTGGTTGACTTCCAAAAACTGACTCAAATTTACTTTCATTAAATTGCGCTCAAGAGGGGAGCATATCCAGAACAACAACTTATTTTAGCTAAATTTAATGTAATTTGTCATCATGAGTGAATATAGAGAAGAAAGAAGAAGAGGAGAAAGAAATAAAGAAAAAGCCAGGAGTGAACATAACTATTTTAGAATGAATGAGAAAAAGCAATTAATAATTAATTTCACATCCTTAATGTACAAAATAGAGCATCTAATCAAACAAGTAGAATAATATCTCAAAAAAAAACATACCAATATTTTTTTGCCAACTCCACCCATTCCCATCAACTCTATTCTTTGAAAAATAACCTATATTATAATTATTATTAGGACAAAAGAGAGAAAAATATAAAAGTTATATATTTATTTATATATGTGTGTGTAATATAGAAACATAAACAAGAAGAAATCAGTAGGGGAGAGTAGGAGTTTGATACCTGATGACTGAGGAGGCATGTTTCTCGCCGGATCGGTGGGTTCGATTTTCCAATTAGTGTTGCCGCTGCTATGCCGTCGGGTGTATGTAAGGGCGGATCCTGGAATTGTCAATGGCGTGGGCTAATATTAAACATAAATTTAATAACACAATTTCTTAAGCAAAATTTTTTTTTTATAACTTAATCTAGATAAATATTTGAATTCAAAGGTTACAAAATATCTATCTAAGTTGTGCTCGACGAGTCTTTAAAGACTCAAATTCGTTGATAATAGACTCAATAAGTTGTGCCAATTTCTTTAAATTTCCATAAAGCATGGTGAATTTTCTATGCGGTGAAGATTAAAGTCCCATGTGTTTCAAGAATACACAATAATCTCCATCATTAACTCTCTTCCAATTGTAATATCCACCATCAATAAGCAAAGAACGACTCATCATTGTATTTCTCTCATCAAAGAGAGAGCATCAAAAACAATATGCTTTATCTTTTGAAGGAGAATACTCTAGGCAAGGAATATGTTTGAACCATTCACACTTAAATCGACGATTCTGCTTTCCATTCCAAGATTTGGAATAATTGGAAAGTTCAGGTTGATAAGGCCCTAAATTGATATAAGCTAGTCTAATCCCATCCCTCTGATGAATGATTCATCGGGTATTCATGTAATTGAATACGTAGCCAGGGGTCTCTTTCAATAGAAGTGGAGTGAGGTTGCTTGGGTTCAACAACTTAAGGTAGGGTGGGAGGTTGGGAATCAAGATCATTGTCAATGTTAGATGCACTAGGTATATCCATTTTCAATTGATCATCCCCACTCATTTTGGCTTCTCTTTTGATAGACTGAGAGAATAAACATACTTTCACTTTCTTGTTTGAAGGTTGATGTTGAGCCATTGTTATTTTTAACGTAATAAAATAAATTAAAAATACATAAATCAAACTAAATTGCTATTATTCCTCCTAGCAACTTACACTAGATATAAGCATTTATCGACAAAAATTGAATGAGAAAATCAAATATTCAAATACACCAAATTTGAGGAATTTTAATCAGTAAACTAAATTAGTTGAGGAAATGGTACTTGTATGTGCTTGAGTATACAAATTACAAAACCGGACAAGTAAGCTTCCTAAGAAGAGTGTCCTGCTAGCATGTGTAAGAAGATCACAATTAACATAAAATGGATGGAGAATCAAACGGAAGCAATAATAACTAAGCATTGCCGATCATACAATAAATATAATATAAAAAAAAAAAATCTAAAATCAAGCAGTTTGGCGAATGATCTCCTGGCTGGAGCTTTGTGTTTGTGTGTGTTTTTGTGTTTTTTTTTTTTTGGAAGCCAATTACCCCACCATTAACTTTTGTTTTGTTAAAGCCTGCTCTTGATTTCCATGTGTTTGTACATTCTGATGGCCAATGCTTTGAGCCTTTGACAGTATCATTAACTGAAATTCTAGCTGAGCCAACTTCAAATAATATCAATGATGGAGGTATGTATCTTCATATAAAAAATAAAAAATAAAAACACTTAATTTGGCACTTTTAAGTATGAGCATAATTTAGAGCTCGAAAAAGTTAATTATTACCTCAGTTCCTCAACCCACTAGAAGGGATCCTTAATTTTCATAGGAATGAATGTGAAAATGCAAAAAATTATGAGGAAAAGGGGTATGGTTGCTGCTGTTGTGAAAATGCAAAAAAAGGAGAGAGAGAGACAGAGGATGAACATACCTTGTCACGGTGTCAACTGAGCCTGAGGCGACAGCGGAGGCTGCGTCCTGCGGAGTGTTGAAGCAGATTGTGTCGTCTGACAAACTTACCTTTATAAATAGATAGATATAAACAGTTTAGGGTTTACATTCTATCCATTGAGAGCAATCCAATGGTTGATATCAATCATGTATAGCTCGTGGGCCGTTGCCTACTGGGCTATTGAGTTTAATAGGGTGTCTGTGTGTCTAGATGTTTTACCAAGTCATCGATTGGGCCTACGTCAACTTCGCCTTACATTTGTACATATGGGCCTAAAATTTAAATATATAAGAATTTAAAATATAGTTAGGCTTTCACTACGGCTCATTTCTTAAACAAGTCTCAAAATTATGCTTAATCCACTTGTTTCTTTAACGAATAATTCAGGACTTATTTATATAGGATTCTAAATGAATGAATATTGAGAGAACTATATGTTTAAATTTCAAACAGTAAGGTGTAGGGAGTTGATTTGAAAATCATGTTAGCTCATTTCGATTGCCAACCTTTTTTGTAAACTTAATTTTTTATTTTAAATTTATTTATTTATCCAACATTGTTAGCTTTTTCAATCAGCCTAGGTGACTGACCTGCCTATAATGTGCCATGCTTTCTAGAAGAAGAGAGCATTGCAGCCATCTGGACTGGGGGTTTTATCCTTCTTGAGAGACGATATACAATTTTGAATTTCCAAATGGGACGGGATAGCATCCAAATATCCATGTAAGTGAAATGGGACTAATTTAAGGATGAATGGAGAAAGGTTAGTGATGACGTGTGTGGAAACGAGTACCACTTCATGTTTGATGGCCTCCAAATCATCTATAACATCTCCATTTGATGTGGTAAGGCTGACAATCTTCTTCCTATTGATTTTGGAAGAGAGATTTTTGAAAGAAAAAAAGAAGGAAGAATTACAATCCCCTAGATTGAGCCAGAGCATCCCTGACTTCTGTCTGAGCAAGTCTTCTTGCACTTTGCCAAGCCTTAAGTATTCCGAGGTAGAGAGATTGCTCAAGCTGTCTTAAAATGGTGTTATTGTTGGAAAAAATTATTACGATAAATCAAGAAATTGCTTGCACTTACACATACGGCGGAAATTATTAATCAAGAAAACCCGGACCATTGCTTCGAGGCACGTAAACGCTTCTTGAAGATAGTCAAAGCCTTCCACATGGTGCAAGGGATCATGGTAGCTCTCTACCTCCAGGATTCAACCAAGCCTGGACTCGATCCAACCATAATGTATTTGCACGATACACTATTGGATGCAACACTTAATCTCTTTTTAGAATGTCTAAGTATAAACATTAGAAGAGAAACATCTAAAATTTGAGATAAGAAAATCTTGAGTATAAGATGGGATTGAGCTTCTCCACACATCATCCATTTTATCCATATTTTTTCATCCTTGAATAAGGGAAGTGTGATATTATATAGACCTCTCAAAATGAACCTCGTAAATATGTTCAAAACTCAAGATACATAAATTTTGAATATTCATGTTCCAACACAATGAATTTATATAAATACATTCATGTATCCACATTAATCAAAATATATCCCCTAAATATTAATGAATGAACTTAGAATATGTTCATTGTCAAAGGAGGTTAATCAAATAGATTTATTAAGATTGCGAAAAGTCTAATATTACTTGTGAAAACATCTCTTTTGTTTATACATGAATCATGCATATATATGTGAACATATTTAAAACTTTATTGCTCAAGGAGAATGAATCAAAATAATTTTAATTTTAATTATATATAGATATATTTTCAAAAATATTAATTTTATTATTTTGAAACATTTTCCAACATTTATTGGGGTGATGATCAAAATCAACTTGGCATGATTCAAGCTCATATCTGGCAGCCTGTAACTTTGAATCCACATCAAAGAAGTCTTTCTTACCGTTGTTCCTGAGGACATGTTTCAATTTCTTTAACTTCTTAACCACTTGGTACAAGGAGGTACCCAAGATGAAAGAGCTCCATGCTTCCTAGACTGAAGGGGTGAAAAGAGGATGAGAACACCATGCATTAAAGAACTTGAAAGGAATACATTTTTTTTGGGGATGTTAAGATCAATGGTAACCAAGATTGGACTATGATCAAATATACCTAGGGGGTAAGATATGTTGAGTTTGTGCATAGCGGAATGGTTGTGGAATATAATATGGATGGATAACCTAGAGGATGGTAAATATATTTAACTTACTCTTTTATCTAATTTTTACTTATTTTAATTTTACCAAAATAAAACTAAAATCAAACCACAAAGCAAAAATAAGGTGCAAGTAAAGTAAATAGAGTTTGAGAGATGACACCAGGATTTTATCGAGGAAACCCCAATTGGTAGAATTGACCAATTGTAACAGGAAAAACCTCGTTGGACTGTGCAATCTTGAGATAAACTATCCATTATGTTTGAATCAAAGTATACCGAACTTTGACTCAGTCTCATATCCTATCGTTCTACCAAAAACCAATTGTTGACAATCCCTAGCTTTGCGACTCCCCCGCCCAACAGCTCTCTACTTCAGCCTTATTCTCGATCTCTGTAAAAGAGTTACAGGTAGATCAGACAACACTCTACGAATACTCTGACCCCTTCAAAGTGTGTTCGCTTCACCCCTTTTCTTCTAGATTTGAATTTGACGAATAACAAATGAATTCTGCTTTTCAGAATTTCTGAATCTTCAATTATACTTTAATTCCGATGAGATAGAGAACAACACTACTAAATCACTCGTCTTTATATGTGTGCTCTCAAAAATAAAATCATAAAATCATATTGATTTTCTGAAAAAATATCTCTCAAAGATGGCTCTTTAATAAATCTGAATTTTGTATGCAAAAGCCGTGAATAAACCTATGTGTATGACAAGGTTTATATAAAGTTTAGAATGTCCTAATCCCTCTAAAAATATAAAAAAATTCGTGCATAGGACTTGGAAGGAAATCTAGTTCAAAAAAGAATCAGAATAAACAAGGAAACTGAAGTTCTAAGGCTGCCAGGACTTCTTGAACTGGTTCAGGAATTTGGGAACCGGTTCACTATGGCCAGAAGGTATTTTGAAGGCTTCCTTTGACTCTTGAACCAGTTCAGGAATTTAGGAACCGGCTCAAGATGGCCAATCTTGAATTTTTCCAATTCCGCTGATCTTGAACCTGTTCAGTGCTTTTAGGAACCAGTTCAAGATGAACAAAATGTAGAATCTTACTTTAAAACTTCCAAACTCTTCCTAAGTGTACTCACTTCCTCTCCAAACTTTCTAAAGCATTGTTCTCATTATCTCGGAGTGTAGTATATCATGAACACTTGAACTTCTTCAAATCTGTATCCAATCTTCAATCTTGAAATTGTGAACCAGAAAATTACAACTCGATCGAACTTGTTTTGACAACGAAATTAGCAAATACACAATATATATATATATATATATATATATATATATATATATATATATATATTTGTCACAAACTCCCCAAAATATATATTTCACAATCTCCCCCTTTGGCAATTTCGTGACAAAACCCTAAAAACAAATATGTAATTTACCTAAGCAGAAAAAACAAATTACAATGATTGTCAAATAAATAAAACGGAATTCTTCTTGAACATCGTGAATCTTCAACACATGTAGCAATATGTAACCTGCACATTAGCTTAACAAAACTACCCGTGAAGCTTAATCTAGAAAGATAAACAATCAACATATATTAATATGTAAATATCAATATATATATATATATCTCCCCCTCAAATATGCACACTTTTCCCCCTTTTTGTTACAAATAAAACTCAATCAAAGAAGGAAAACAAATAATGTGGGAGAATTAACAAGAAGAGAGATCAAAACTATCATCCATGCATAAGATATTACAATAAGCACAAAAATATAATGATTTATAGTAGCAATGGAACCAAAGAGAAGTATCCAAGATAACATATATTCCATCCATAAGATAAATAACACCAATCATGTTCAAAATCACACATTTGATATCTCCATCCAGTTAAAAACAAAAATTCCTAATAAAAACTAAAATGAAAATCTTTTTGGATTTTTTTTCATTTTTTATTTTTTTTTCCTGATATTTTAACAAAAAAATATGAGATAGCAATTTCCATGAATTTCAAGAATATATGAGATCCAAAAATTTGTGAAGAATTCAAGAGAATTTTAAGACAATTTTTTTTACCCCACAAATTATTCAATCAGCTCAATTCTTGAGCATGCAATCACAACATAAAATTCAACTTGTAATTTTTATAAAAATTTAAAAATTTGCCTAACAAGTTCACATGTGTGTGTGTGTGCAATCCAATCTCATCGATTTCAATCAAATCTCATTGATCAACTGTCTAAACCATATTGATTGAAAAGCATCAAGATAAGATTATTTTGAGCAAACTTTTCTAAACAAGGTGGCTTTCACTCCAAAGAGTAGACAGCAATTCCCTATTTTAACTTGTCTCCTCCTTCTTTTTACTCATGCTCCTCTTCAAAGTCTAGCAGGAGCTTTTGAACTAATCTCAATAAGTAGCCTTTTTCTTAGCAAGATTTTCAGCATTCTTTTGATTTTTCTTTTCTTTTCATGATGAAATTTCATCTTATTTAAAAATAAAAAATAAAAAGTAATAATAATAAAAAAAACATATGCTCCCCTTTCTTTTTAAAAAAAGAATAACCTTTATAACTTTTATGAATAATATGACTTAGTCAACTTCACAATGATTTTAAATTAAATTTCTCAGAGTTGGACTAGTGCACATGAAAAATATGAACTCAAGAGACTCATCTCTAAAAAGAAATAAACACAACAAATTGTCTTTCAACATATAGATTACACATTAAAAAAAATTTCATAAAAAAATCATGTGTCTACAACTTGCATTAAAAAATAGTTAATACAAGAGATATAATTATCACTCATGCATTAACAAGAAAAACATGATCATCACTTTCTCATGAAAACAAACAACCTAAATCCTAAACTACAAGATATGGTCCAATGGAAACAAGATATTCAACGGGAATAGTTCCATTGATGTTTGAGGAAATAGA